TGGTTTGTGTGACACTGGGGGCTATGTATAACTTCATGGGAATAGTGGAGTTTTAAATAAACTGAACCGGACTCTTTGTGGAAGGGCGCCCGGTGACTTGGACACACGTAGCTGCTGTGGCATCAGCAGCAGCTTTGCGAGGTCTCCCTGGTGGTGCAGCTGCCTGGTAAACCTGGCTGCAGCGATCCTCATCAGTACAGAAAGCCGACGATACACCGAAAGCGTGTTTTGTAATATACCTCCCTTGCGATTGTTTTCCCAGGCTGATACGGGGTTGACATGATAGTTTCTTCTGGGCAGCTGTAAGGTTAAAAAACGTGGGGAATTTTGATCTGTAGACAATGGTCCTTTGGTTACTTCTTCTAGGGGCAGTTTTCCAAGGAAAAGCCCTTGGACAGTCTGCAGTGACCTCCCTCCTCTTCCTTCCACAGCTTGATTGGGTCCATAGAGCTGTACCTTTCTGAGAACAAGGTAACTACTTGTGGCCGAATGATAGTGAACCAAGTTCACTAACAAAGTTCACCAAGTTCACTAAGGGTGAAGCCAGTCGAAAGGGCTCTGGCTTGACTGTGCACGCAGGGGGGAGAACCAGAGCTAGAATTACATACCAGGGCTTACACGTTCTTGCTAGCGCTTCCGGCATGGATATCCTGGCACAGACTTCCATTTTCTCCTCTTCTCTCCCCCATCTTTGCCTCCCCACATCTGCGGTACTGGAATTAGTGCTGGCTGTTCAAGAAAAAATGTTGTGGCTCCTGGGTTGGGAGCCAGGCAATACCATTTCCTATGTCCTCAACTGGTCTGGCTCTGAAGCAAACCAAGGAACCTGTGTCTGTGGATATTCTGGTTAGCAAAGGCTAGCCTGTATATAGTTTGGTTGATGGCTTTAGGCAAGCTATGATAAACCATGATCTTTTCTGGAGGGGAAGAATGAGAGGGATTACAGTGACAAGCTTTCAAAACCAACAATTAGTTTATGTTTTCAAAGGATGTCCACAAGTGGGGAGGTTGAAAAAACGCATAATATTTTACAGTCCTTAATGTAGAAATCTGTGGCTTTCTTTTCTTGTTCTTTTTGTTTTGTTTTGTTTTTAAATACATGGGACTTGATCTTAGGCTTCATTGTGTTTAGAAACTGCACATCATGTTAGACGTGCAGCCACTCAGGGAATGTGCTGATCTGTTGGCATATAGAAGGGAGACAAAAAGCTTATGTGTCATTTAAGGGTATGAGGGATGTAGAGGAGTAAGCTTATATTAACTTAAATCTGCATGGTTGTTAAGAAGGGTCTGTCAGTCATCTCCACCATTGGACATATAGCTGTTTGCCTAAAGGTCTCAATCAATTAAGATCTCTTTTGAACAGAGCTTTGTTTATGGATCAGCATTTTTTATGCAAGTGGGAGACAAGTAGTAATAGTAAACCTAACGGTATTTTTAATCATTGACCTGACAGATTTCTCCCATGATAATTGCCTGAGCACCATGGAGGCTTCTGCAGCCTGTCCCCACACAGCAGGCACAGCGGGAGAAGACTTAAATGGCAGATCCTATTGCTTTCCAAGAGTGTATTTTCAAGCCCAGGGTTGGAAGCACTACAGGTGTTGTGGCAGTGCACAAAATATTGAAGCTGTTAGGTTAGCTGCCCTTTCTCTCCTAAAATTGCTTATTTCCCTTATTAATGTGGGTAAGTAATAGCCTAATGGTCAGTGGCAGATTCTTCTTTGTAAGGCAAAACCTTCTAGTAACACTTACCTTGGTGCCTGCTTCACAAACTCCGTTGTTCTTGTTTTGCACATCTTTCTTGAAGTCAAATTTCTGGTAGAGCATTAAACTGTGAAGATTACTAGCAGCTCTGTTACCGTAGTTTTTGGCTTGTCTGCATGAAGCTGCTGCTTTACAACAAATGAGAGTGTCTTACCAGTAGTTCCTGATTTAGAGGGGTTTGAGTGCTGAGATCCTGCATTGATGGAAGCAGCATAAAACCTGTCTAGAGTTTGGCCCAGCTTCTCTCACCTTTGTGCCATGTAAGTCGAGCTGAAACAGCCATGAGGAGCTTGGGTAGAAATTCTTCATGGGGAAAGTCTTAAGAGAGCAGATGTTCTTTTCTTCTCTCCCTTTGTGTTTTGGCATTTGTGGAGGGTGGAGGACAGAGTCAAGTAAAGCAGCGCTGTACCTTTCTCTGGCTGGTACTGGTGCTGGTCCAATAGCAGAAGTTTGAAAAAACACTTTACAGTATGGCAAAACAACACGTGGCTGTGATGCAGAATAAGAGATTTTGTTCTATGCTCTCCCCTAGTTGCTAGCATTATTGTGAAGACACTACTTGGTCTCCTTAGTTGGCTCTTCTTGATTCTGTTCCTCACCTTCAGTCCTGTCAGCTTGGCTGACAGATTTCACAGTTGCCCTTTCCACTCCTTGAGTAGTGCTCAAAGTAGCTAGGGAGTAACGTGCCATAGCTGCCGTGTCCCAGTTCTTCTCTGATAGTCTTGTCCTCCTCCTTGGGCTTGTGGAGAGAGGGAGGACTGCATGTGACTGCTTGGTGGTAGTTGTTGGACTTATTAGAGGGTGAAAAGTAACACAAAATATGAGCATATAAAGAAGACTAAGAATCCAGTCTTGAAAGACAATCCTTGTGTTGATGGGATACTCTCTAGTATTTGAATCTAGTATGCAGAAGTATTTGAGAGCTGAAATATATTTAAAGGGGGAAATGAAAGCATTAACATGGTCAGCATCAAGAGTTGGTCAGCATCATCAGTGGTAGCATCGACATGCGAGTGCCTACGTGATTTTACGGGATTGGTTTAATCTTGTTTTTCTAGCAAAGGGCTGTATAGTTGCAGTCTGCCTGTCCATCTGTCACTCTCCTTTGTAAGTTTTGTATGCAGCGGTTTTGTTCCAGGTAAGCTCGAACAAGTTTTGGAAATCTCTGAAATTCAGACTCCTGTAACATTTGTGGGAATGGCTTGCTTTGTGGCAAGAGGCCAGAAAGAGTTTTAAACAGAAACGATTAGATCTGCAAATGTTTTGGGGAAGGAGGTCCTAAGTATGAAAGGTGCTTACTTGAACATCTAATGAGTGATAATGGAGGCAGCCATCCTAAGTCAACTGAAAAATAGTGTTATTCCTGATTTTCAGCTAAAATATGATTTAAATTAATATAGTATAATCCATAAGCTCTCTTAATCCCTTCATCCTAACTTTTCACACTGTGACGAGATACCTTTAGAATTTGTCTGTTGTGACAAACAATAGTTTTAACGCATTGAAGAATTTAGGCAAGGTAGCAACATTTCTTCATATGTGGACATACTTGTCTGGTCCCCGTAGTTGTTTTGCAACACAATCTAAACATATGTTGGATAAAAAGTCCAGGCATTTTTGCTGATCTTATAACTGTTTAGGCTCTTTGTGTTGAAAATAAATTTCCCAAACAGTTTATGCAGATGGAGAGAGGGGGATAAAATTTCTGATTGATAGTGAGGAGCAGTAGGTGTGATCCTGTGATTTGACTCTTGACTGCCACAACGCACTTAGCCCCTGGAAACGAGAGAACGTTTCAAGCTGTATGTCCTTCAGGTCTTTCAAAGAGCACTCAACATTGCCAAACATCATATGTTGAACATCTCTGATCTGCATTTGAAGGCTCTTTCACCTTCTGTCCTCAGGAAAATGAAAGAAATTTCGCATGCTGGAGCATGGGCTGCCTGTGTGTTGTGAGATGCTGGTAGCACCTTTTCCCACCAATTTTCCTTAAGGGATCTGGACATTAAACAGCCCTTTTTCTTAGTCAAGGTGTACATCTCTACCTTAGACTTAGGAAACTAACTTTCAGTCGTCTTATACGTAAGATGATCAAAGGCTTAACCAAGTTTTCTTCTGGCTGAGAGGGGACAGTGGAATTATTATGGTGGTCTGATTCAACAAAATAAAATTTGAATGAAGCTGAAAATCAGCTCTTTCATTATTTTTCCATTTACAGCTGTTGCCATCTCACTGGACAAGTAGACTTGGGAATATATCTTGATGTGAAATGTTGCAAGGAACACAGAAGAAAGCTATACGGTTTGGTTTGTGGTCAGTTGGACATCCATTTAGTTTCATTTCTCTGTAGATCTGTTTCTTAAAATACTTCTTGTTGCTGAGATTGTAGAAGTTTGCATTTGTTTTTAAAACATTCTAATTTGTACTTTATTACCATTTTCATAGATATTTTTGAGTGTCATTACCAAAATGACTCAGCGCTCTAAAGAGCCCTGATACCGCAGTGAGCAAGAAAACATTGCATCTGTTTTACCTACTGTTTTTTGGCTGCCTGTCCCTCAAACTTGTTTTTCTAAGGAGTGAAATCTCTGCATGTTAGACTAATGACTGCATGTCAGTTCCTTAACTCTTAAAAAGGCTTGGATGTCGGCTATTGAAAAGTAATGAGATGCGCACTTATTTAGCCAAGGATCCAGATATCTATTACGCACATGCAGTTGAAATGACAATATAAAATGAATGTGGTGCTAATTGTTGTCTCTGTAGCAAGCCACGGATTAGTGTTCCCCCCACACTGTTCACTTTAAACGTTGTGATGAACAACATTTATAATGAACATCGATGGTCTGGGGACCTTAAAACTGTTGCCAATTCATAATTGCTGTTTGCCACATATATTTGCTTACACTTGTGCAAGGGTCAGCCAAAGTGGTACCAGGTGAGTTAAATCCATTAACTATTTCCTTTTTCCTTTTGTTGTCGGGGCCTGACTTTGAAATTGGTGGAAACTTTGCTCTTGCCATAATTCACAGAGAAATTGGCTATTTGTTGTTAAAATTTTCTTCCTGAGGAGAAAGTCTGCTTCTGCTTGCACTTTGCTCTGTCAGGTTACAGAACAATCTCTTCCAGCGCTGAGCCGTGCAAGTACAGGTGTCCCTTCTAATCGTATAATAAGAATAACCAGATTTGTGTACATTTCCTGCTTTCTCTTTTTTTTTCTTTTCCTGTTAAAGCCTGAGACTGCAGCTGTGCTGAAGCGCACTGTTGAGGCTCTTATGGAGAGAGGAGCCATTGTGAGGAACCTAGAAAACCTGGGAGAAAGGTCTCTACCTTACAAAATCTCCAAGCACAAGGAGCGCCACAGAAGAGGAGGGTATGCATGATGCGTTTTTCCTTAAAATCCTTTAAGTGCTCCTTTAAAATGTATATAAGTAACTCTCATTGTTTGGTCTTCCTTGTGCTTTTTGGGAGTACACCTGTAATGTCTGTGTTGTGTGGCTGTTTGTGCGTGCGTGTGTTCTGCTTCAAGTGTTTGTGTCTTTTATTCTGCGTGCTGTCGGCTTTTTGGTAGTGTTTAGTCGTCGTGTTTCAAGTAGCCTGAGTCCAGGCCTGCAGAACTACTTTCCCTAACATACACAATGTTATTCTGTTATGTCATTTTTTACATAACTGTTTTCCAAGCTAGTCAGGCTGTTTACTGATAAAAGTAGTACTTAATCTGCTGGTTGCCAATTGGCAGGATTGATTCTTTTTCTCTAATGCTTCCAAACTAAACGTTAATTATTGTGTATAGCCTGTAAGACTTACTTGTGTTTAAGGATGTTAAAGATGACTGCGTGGTTTACAGGAGGTAGGATAGATGTAAATGAAGCCCTGAATTGGCATCTGGGATGTTGGGCTTCCCCCGTGCAGGAGGAGGGTGCTGTGGATCGCACCCCCTGCTCACTCACGCTACTGGAGTGTTGCTCCTTGAGGCAACCTCCGAAATGGATGCTGGCTTTCGCAAGGATGGAACGATGTTGCTAGGCAACCCACACTGCGCCAGCCTGCCTGCCATAATCAAAATCACTATTAGTGACACGCTCCTCCTACTCCCTGTAATGCAACTGTGTGTAATCAGAGCGTTGGCCAACCTGCCGTCTTCTTTGAGGGGCATTTGGCACTGGGGAAGGTGAGGTGACTCCAGAGGTGCACTCCTTGGATCATCTCCCTGGGGCTCACTCATGGTTTCACTCCCTCTTCTGGGGACCTCTTCGTTCTCCTGCAAAGTGGGAGCGGTGACAGCTGCCAGTTAAAGCAGATGGACAGAAAGGGTAGGGCAGGAAATGTCCACCACGTGCCTGTTACTTAACCGAGTGTTGTGGCCATGACTGATTGTGCTCCTGTTCCGTGGTGTCCTTCAAAACATGGCTTTGCTCCTGCCAATTTTGCATTTTAGGATGAAGTCTTGTTGCCTACACATGGGAGCTAATCAAAGCCTTGTCTCAAGGCAGAATTACTAATTACCTCATCTGTCTGTTGGAGTAGAAGCATTTTATAAACATGAAAGTCTTCCGACGGCTTCAGCAGAACAAGGAGCTGGTGTTACTCTCCTTGTACAGTGGGAAGCTAAGGCAGAGGGACTAAGTTCCACTAATTTTGGATGCTGAAGTTGAGACTTTCAGCTTCTAGAATTTATTTTTTTTTTTTTTTCTTCCTAGAGTACTTAGCGCTGTCTGACATTTGACCACTTCAGATGATGGTTTCCGCTGGGCTTGCAGTACTTCTGCAGATCAGGTCTTGGGTTCTTCAACAGGGAAACCAGGACAGGAGAAGACAGTAACCAGCATCACAAGAACTATGTAGCAGAGATGAATAGAAGCCATTTCTCCAGGGGATCTTTCAGACGAGTAAACTAGCTTAACTCATTTACTGTAGTAGATTACCTACTTAATAAGCAGGATGAGGGGATCTGTAGACTATAACCCTCTTCTTTGCAAAGTCCTCAGAGCAGACCTATTTTATTTTCTGAATGAGGCATGGTTTTAGTAGCAAATAATTGCCATTGTGTCTTGAAACACGGGCAGGAAGCCATCAGATTAATGTCACCATTGCTGTTCCTCCTCCACCTCCCTGTTCAAGTGTCTCTAAATATTTAAGCAGTCATTCTGCTTGCCCTGGATTTGGATCCTCTGTATTTGAATATGACAGTTTCCTTCCTTAAATTGCTTGGCTTCTTGAAAGGGAGAAGTGATTGAGAGAGGGTACTACAGGAAATAGTTGTTTTGTGTGCTTCTAATTGGAGAACTCAAATTCAGGAGACACGAGATACTACAAGGGGAAGCAGCAGGAAGTTTCAGTACCTGGTAATGTAAGAGAATTGCATTTCTGTAGATTTTGCTGGGGAGATTGCAGTTCAGTGTATGGGTATGCTGGATTCCTGGTATACCATCCAATATTTTATATGGTCGGGAGAATAAGTTACTTAGGATATTATACATAATCTAGGAATAGGCAGGGAAAAGTCAGTTCTTGATGCACCTTATAAAATCAATCAGTTCTACTTTGTAGCATCTGTAAAAAGCAATTTTTTTTTTAACAGGACAATGTTAGAAAAAAAGAAAAGCTTTTCAAGATACCTCACTAAGCTGAATATACACCTGTACGTACTAAGAAATCCTAAGGCCTTTTCTCTTTCATAGCCAATTTTTAATTCTATGTTCACTTCCTTAGCAAGTTGGTGTAGAGTCATTTATTAAGTAGTACAGAGTGTGTCATGTTTTCCTTAGTCTGGGCATTTTCTGAAGTAACTGAAAGGACTTCTGTGAGAGTGCAAATGATAACTGTGTGTCTGCATGTGGGGGGCAGAGTGTTGAATCTTTCAAAACTTTTCATTTTGTGAGATTTTTTTTGTTTGCTTTTTAAATTATTTTTTTTAAGTTTTGTGATTCTTGGCAGAGCTTCAGCTAGTTTATTTTCCAATAGTATGTAGATGGTTGGAGACTTAGGATGTATGCTGAATCCATTACTTCCTTGGACCTCCTGGTTGGTGAATTATATGAAAATTAGTGGAACACAATATTCGTAGCAACAACTTGTATGAAAATTAGTGCAATACAATAGTCATAGAATGGGTCATAGCTTAGTATCGTGTCTCTTGGAGACAGCTCTTGTCACCTGCCTGGGCTGTTTGCCTGAAAACCAGCACAAACCAAAGCAATCTTCCTCACCAGCGTCATCATGAGCCTAGCTTTGCTCCCGTATAAAACTCCAGGCTGTGCCTCTTAACCTCCGATCAAGGGCATCACTAGGGCAGCACCGGCTATTCGCAGGTCGACTGAGACGTGCTCTCTGGCATGCCTAGAAGTCATCCTTCTGCCAGACTTTTGCCGTACGTTTTCTTCATTTAGTTAATGCCATTTTTAACTGCAACTCAAGCTTTATATACAGCATATCATAAAAGTGAGTGATTGACAGCAAAAGGACACACAAGTGCGGTGTGCATGACAAAGCTACTGCTGGACTTAGCCAGGTTTTGGTAGTGTCTTTAGTGAACAGTAAGGAATTAAACTGGAAAATACATATTCATAAGTCAGTAGCAAACATAGTTGTCTCCTTAATAAAGTGCTTTTTCCCCCTCTGAGTTCTGTAGTGCTTCGGCATCATCTGTCTTGGATATACTGCATTACAGGCACATTACAAACTTAAGAATATCCGGGAGACTTTACAGAGAATGAGAATTTTACTGCCAATTGATTTGTAAAGCCGAACTTTTTCAAAGCCTGCCGTAGGGGATTGGGGCCCACAGCTGTCGCTGGAATGAGCAGTTTTACTCTCCCAGGCAGCTTTGAAGACCTCAGATCATACATACAATGGACTTGTTTCTTCTCAGGAAATTGTATTCACTGAGCAGGTGGTGCACACGCATTGAGGGAATACTAAAACAAACTTAGGTCCTTTTCTTAAATGCATCTCTTTTGGCAGAAAGCACTCTCCTTTTTTTTTTAGAGACCTAATATTGACAGCTTTTGCATTTAAGTCATTATGAAAATAGTATGTTTCAGGAACTGTGTGGATATGTCTGAAGAATCAAACTTTTGAATCAGTGGTTTACTGATACTTTAAACTAAAGTTGAATTAGCTACTAATTCACATTTATGGTATTAATTGCCGTAGTAGAACATGAATATTTTGTTTTTAAAGTATTTAACAGTGTGATTCAAGTAGCATCTCACAAAATTGTAACAAATACTGTTCACCTTATAGATGAATAAAATGTGAAAAGGACACATTGGTTCCAGTGTAGGTTAGGTATGTAAATTTAGTTGAGGCATTGAGCCCGAGTGACTTGCCCATGGCCACCATGTCTCTGAAAAAACAGTGGAATAATCATAGAATCACAGAATCATTATGGTTGCAAGAGACCTCAAAGATCATCAAGTCCAACAGTATACCTGATGTCACCATGCCCGCTAAACCCACTAAACCATGTCTTGAAGTGCCACATCTAGACATTTTTTGAACACCTCCAGGGATGGTCACTCCACCACCTCCCTGGGGAGCCTGTTCCAATGCTTAATGACTCTAACGGTGTAGAAGTTCTTTCTAATGTCCAGCCTGAACCTCCCCTGGTGCAACTTGAGACCATTGCCTCTTGTAAATAAGGATTACCAACTTTATCTCCTAATGGGCAACAGATTTATGCCAAGTATTCATTTTGCTAGCTACTACATGTTTATAATTTTTAATGAGTTATATTTAAATTGCTTTTAACATGATGCATTTATTTTTTTTAAATAGTGTATTACATGTATCAGGAGGTGCTTATTTCTGGAACAAACAGAAGTGAACTGATTTAAATAAGGTGTGTACTAGTATTTGAATTCAAGGAATGTTAAACTCTGGATTTGTTTGCTGTTTAAGATGATGCAGAAGCATTGAATCCCTCAAAGCAGCTTTCAAGTAAAGGGTCCAGGCCGGGGCTGAGTGATGACATTGCAGAGCCATTGCGCATATTCGGTCAGTGCTAAACTGGTGAATACTGCAACTGCTTGTAAAATGATAGATCTCAGTAGCACAGTCTGTGGTTTTGCACTTTGTGGCATACCTGTTTTCTTTGGCCTTGCCAGGCTATGCCTTAATCATACGCTTGTGCCACTTTATGCTTCAGGGCATCGGATAAAGGAGGTGGTTTGGGGGACGTGGTTGGTATGTAGGATATTTTTACTTTAGGGGAGATGGTATAAGGGTGGCTGCAAAACAGATCTTTAAAAAAATAAGGTTCAGACACACTTTTGGGAAGGTAATGGCTCAAACTTTTTGCAGCCCAGGAATCTGTTAAAGGAGCTATGGCAGGGGCTTTGGGGAGAAGAAAGGGGCCAGGTGTAACTGGGT